GACTTGAGCACAAGTCCTATGAGGAGAGGCTGAGGGAGCTGGGGTTGTTTAGTCTGGAGAAGAGAAGGCTTAGAGGTGACCTCATCACTCTCTTCAACTACCTGAAGGGAGGTTACAGCCAGGTGGGGGTTGGTCTCTTCTCCCAGGCAACCAACAATAGGACAAGGGGACATGGGCTCAAGCTCTGCCAGGGGAGGTTTAGGTTAGATGTTAGGAAGAAATTCTTTACAGAGAGGGTAATCAGGCACTGGAACGGCCTACCCAGAGAGGTGGTGGATTCACCATCCCTGGAGGTTTTTAAAAAGAGATTGGATGTGACCCTTAGTGCCATGCTATAGTAATTGGAGTTGGATCAGGGGTTGGACTTGATGATCTTGGAGGTCTTTTCCAACCCAGTCTATTCTATTCTATGATTCTATTCTATTCTATTCTATTCTTGCAGAAGAGTATGGCTGGTGTAAAATGAACTGTATAACCGATATATGTTAATGCAAAAATAGTAGCAGTTTGGAACAACTTAGAGTTTTTATAAAATATGTGCACAATCAAAATTGTGTATTTATATTAATTCCTATCTCTTTTCCTTAAAGGATAGCCAAAAGAAATTTGTGTTACTCAGAAAAATATCAGTATGGTTTACTGTTTGAAAAATTCACCATACAAAAAAAATCATTTTGTAAACATGACAGCCTTATTTTCATGCATGCATTCCTGCAAGACTTCTATGTCATACTTCTTTGATTCACTTGTCAAAATAGAGCAATTACTACTTTCAGTCTTGGTTTATGGAAAAGAAAGCAACATTTGATTATTCAGTCTTTAAATACTGTTTTATTAGTTAATACTAATTTCTTCTTTAAAAAATCTAAGAATTTATCTAATACAAGACTTTCCCTAATCATAAGAAGAAGTCAAATATAAAAATGTTTCAGAAGAAAAAAAGAACATCAAAATAAAAATTAGCACAATTGAGAAGAAATTTTGCTAGTTCTTAGTGGAACCAGCATCAGGGCCTTCAATGCGCTAATCGACTTTAACTGTCTGATGACCTGAACTCTAAGCAGCTGGTGCCTGCCCCACTTGCCTCCCTTGGAGGCAGCAGCATGGGCATCAGCAAGGTCCCTTCCCTGCCATTTGGCTTTTCCCCCTTCACTCCCAGTGCTCCGAAGAGCAAGCAGACAGTCATTGCTGCTCTCTGAGAGCTAGTATGACACAACGCTCCTCTGATGGCAAAAAAGCCAATGTTTATTAAGAAAGTAATCAATTTCTAAGAATTTTTATTATTAGGAATAATATGGGAAAAGAATTCTGTTCTGAAACTCCAAATTCTGTTGAAGTATTTTAGATACTAATAACCCATTTTTTCTGTAAAGAACATAAAACACTTGTTATTAAGCTGCATAAATAGAATTATTCTGTCATATTTCTATTTATTATTACAGCGAAATATTGTATATTTTGAGACAAATGGTCCTAGAAAACCTGCTTCAGGAGCAAATCTGTAAGTCTGTATCTTAACAGGCCCAGTTCTTTTCAAATGTAGCTGTCAATCTCAAGAAATTTAACCTATGTACAATTTAGTTTATAAAAAAATATTTTTCAGGTCTTTTATTTTAACCCATAGTATCACTGTAACAATTTCCCACTTTTAGTAAGTGTAATGTTAAGAAACAATTTTTACCAAAAAACATACGCCCTATTAGAAAAAATATTATGGAACAGTTGATTTGATACAACAGATACTTCTTGCTTTTCTGATTCATAT